ACATGTGGCCACCCAGCATGTAATGGATGCATTAAGGGGTTTTCAAATGTGGTGTAATTACAACGGGGCTACACTTCTCTGGTGGAGACGGGACGGATGGCATGACAGAGGGTCATATGATGATGAAGAATTCAACCCATGACCCAGAAACACAAGGGGATGATCACGCACCAGCGGTTGTCTTACATCTGGAGTCCTGATATTACCGTAACAAAAACCTCACCTTCGCCTTTTGTGTAGCCAAAGAATCATAAATGCACAGAATCACAAGCGCAATTCTATTGATCTAAAGGAATAAGACATGGAGATTTAGAGGAGTGAAAAAGATTTACATCAAAGTAATCATTTCACTTCTCTCTTGGAAGCAATTTTCTTCCCGACCTCCACTTGATAGCATGTGCAATTACGTTATAAGTATGTCAAACCAAACCGGTTTCATTCCAATATTCATATCTCAATTTTGAACTGGCAGCGGCTTGTGAGGCCTTGTCGAATTTTTGTGTAAACTCCAAATCCAATATATAAGGAGAATTATTCCCCAAATTCCTGCATACAATGTAACCTGCTCATAACCTTGCTTCTCCAGCTTGAATTCATTTGAGGCTCGGGCTCAGGACTCACAAGCGAGGGACTGAGGATTTGGCATGAGCAGGACTTTGTGTAAGGAGCTGGCTGTGAGCTTTGCAAGCTGTGAGAAAGAAAAAAGTGGCCGGGAAGAGGCTCGCAAATTCCCTTAAACATAACATGATTTTGCTATATTGTTTTTTTTATGATATGATACGTCATATTTGTCTTTTTTTTTTTTTGCACACAATTGCTCATGAAATCAAGTGGTTTTAATGCCATTCCAATAACGCTCCTCTTACCTCTCTCTGACTGATCCTCTAATCTGAAATCACATTCTTTTTTATCTCTGGCTTACGTAGAAGTGAGCGATTGCGAAAAGGAAGAGCGAAGACACCCGTAAGAGCGTCGGGCAGGACAAACGAGTGTTTGGATATGTGTGAGTGTGTGTGTGTGAGTGTGTGTGTGTGTGGGGCGGTCAGAATCACCTTGATTCAGTACACCGGCCCCCTTTGAAGTGCTTGGAGCCCGGCACGGCCAGCGCAGAGCCAACCGTAAGCCTTCCAGCAAAGACCGAGCCTGACCTCCCCGCCAAATCATAACCATATGAACGCAAGAATTTCCACCTTAGGAGAATGCTTTCTCCCCCGTCCATCTCCCAGGGTGAGGCATTAAGTAGTGTAACCAGAACCCGTTCTTAGGGAAGGGAGAGCCTTGGGGGTTTTGGAAGGGGGAGGGGAGGACCAGAGGGAAAATAGGGTGTCAAAGTGTCCCTTATGGAGAGAATTGGGAAAGATGTAGGGCGGGGGGGGGGGGGGATTGTGTCCAAAAAATGTTGTTGCACAGAGCGCGACTACCTAAAATGGAAGTTTCTCAGGCGAGGATCAAGAGATATGGTGCCCTTTGCGGTTGACAGAGTGAGAGACAGACAATGTAGACGCGGGGTGCAACAAAAGGGAAGAAAAGGACAAATGTTGAAACGGGGCTCTTGCTCAATAAATACCTTTCTAAACCGCCGTAGAGAAGCCTAGTGGTACCTTTACTAAGGCCTCAGGACCCACCTGCAACCGGTCCTAAACAATCCCTGTTGCACCCTAATCCATGTAATGACAGCTCGTATTCCACACGTGTAAGTACACATGTAAAACATTATAGTCACAATTTTATTTGTTTCTCTTTTAATAAGAGCACAGCCCCTCTTTGGCTCTCCAAAACTACCACCGATGAGAGAAAACCATGTATTTACCCAAACCCCTCGTAGATAACAGCAATGTGGGGAGACTTGTTAAGTTATTATGCCTTAATGACTTTAAACACACTCTCGTGCACAGGCCTCTGCCACTGATACAAAGCCCACGTCACACCAGCGCCTCATAGTTTGAATAAGCCTTCCTCAAAGTGTGTGTGTGCACGCGCAATTAGGGTTAAGAATGTTTGTGTGAGCACACAGTATGCCTCTGTGTGTGTGTGTGTGTGTGTGTGTGTGTGTGTGTGTGTGGTTGGGTGGCGGCGGAGGGGGCTGTTAGCGGTTCCATCTGGGTCTCCTGGAAGCCGTGTGGAGTCAGGAAAACCACATCTCATAAAAGTGGAGGCAGCCCAATGTTCTACAAGGACAGAACATTACTGAGAATGTCGCTCAGGAAAACCCAGGGCTTTGCTCCACATGTTGGCTGAAAAGGCTGCGTCTCTCTCTCTCTCTCTCTCTCTCTCCTCCTCTTTCCACTCGTTCTCTCTCTCGCTCGCTACTTATTTTTCACTTGGTCAGGGATAAGGAAGCGGAAGGCAAAATGGGCCGTGGAGCGCGGGTAGAAACACACGGAGGGAGAAAGGAGCCAGTGCTGATAGCAATTCCATCTGTCTGTATCGAACAGAGGAGCGAGCAGTGACAGGACGTTAGGGTGGAGGTGGGGGGGGGATCTGGTGCACATTGGCTTCGGGTCTGTCTGGCAGAGGACAGAGGGATGAGTGGAGGGAGGGAGGACAGGATGAAGGGCGGAGGGATGGAGAAGGTTGAAAAGTCCTGTCAAAGTGAAAGGCGACGAATAAATGCATGCAGATTAAACACACTTTAAGGGTATTTTAATTTAGATGCGTTTTGCGGAAGATGTCAATTTTACACTTGGACTGTTTGTTGTGCAAACCAAAAGCCTTTATTCAAGTATTTGGACTGCGAAGGTCATTAAATCTTTAAACTCTTAAAATGTATTGGCAGAAGGGAGTTATTCTCATCTGACACCCACGACGTGTTTATTGTTCAGTGAGAAACATAATTTTATTGTTCAGATCTGCACTCGGAGCAGTTTGCGGACTGAAGGTCAGGCTTCAAACGGTTCGTAGAAGAACAAAACAAGAGAGCGGGAGAAACACTATCATTCATTTTAATGGTTATTGATGTCACGTATAATTCCTCAAAATTCCTCCTGCTTGATCAGCCATTGCATGTTTAATAATATTGATGAATTTCTCCAGTTAAAGGAGCCTATTACCAAGATATATTGCACCGTAAACGCATATTTAGTCACACCTCCTCAATGTATTCGGTATTTCCATGCAGTGGATGGCAGTGAGGACGGAAGAGGGCAAAGACGATGCTTTTGAACATGTGAATGAGTGGTCGGCTGGTATGTATATAATACGGAAATATAAGTGTGTGTTTTCCTTCTTACTGCACTGCATACATTCAGGTGGTCAGGCATCAGAGGAGCTGCAGGTAAACTCTGTCAGCTCCATGTCCTGGGTTCTCTGACGCGTCACTGAAGCACGTACACACTATGTACCAAACACACACACACACACACACACCCCCACACATACGTACAGGGTTCTTTGTCAGTCTAAAGACGCTGGGACACATTTTGTGAAGAAAAAGTGAGGAAAGTGAGACTCTTTGAATATAATTCCGATATACGGAATGTATGTAATGTTTTAAATCAAATGATGTCCCCTGACATCAAGATTAAAAAAGTTATTATCTGTCTTCTGAAACCTGTTCTACTAATTTTATCTCTTTAAGACGTGGATGGGGGACGGGGAGAAAACCCCTTGACACAAAGCCTTGCCCAGAGGCTTGAGGAAGATGATTGAATTTCATAGCTACTTACAGGCTAATAGGGCCGCACAATGACTACTTACTTTCCTTAAGTGACTGGCTGCTTCTCGCCGGCACGCGGACCCTTTGAAGCCCTCCCGAGGACATGGAGGGGGTTTAGCCGGTAGCGCGACATGAGGCTGAGCAGCCGAGCACCAGCTGATGTAAACACAGGGCTCCGATGGCCGCGTCACTCTGCGCTTATGTTTAGTGTAGTTTAGCAACGGGGAAAATAATAGAATTGGGATTTTTTTTTTAGAGTGGAAACCGTTTTCAGTTGGTCAAAAATTTTGATATACTATATATATCGCCTGTGCAGATATGCTTGTCTGTGTAACATATGATTTTAGATTTAATATTTAGTGATTTTAGATTCACAACACATTTGACGAAACCGTTATTCAATTAAGCAAAAATACTTTTTATTAATAGTTATGTATTGAAGCAAAACAAGTTCGAATTAAATATTTGAATGATAAAATGCAGCAAATTAGTTGACTAAGTTTGAATGACTAACTGGGGTTATTATATTAAATATTATTTATTTATTTAAGTTTTTAATTGAATTCTTAGTTGTAATCTTAAATTGGCACACCATTGGCACATCCATATAACTGCTGGGCTGTTATTGTTTAATTTGTGTGTGTGTTCTTAAAGACTTTCAAAGGAAAGGGGACCTGGTCTGCGAGCGCTTTACTCACAGAAGCTGTTTCCACGTACAAACCACCTTCTCCTCGCCATGCGGTTCCACTTACACTCTCGGCACACTAAACCATATACGCATACAGATAAGCACATGCGCACACAACACACACACACACACACACGTATACAAACGCACACGCACACTAACCACATGCACATGTTCACTTGCTCTTAACTAATTCATTCAGGAACACTTTGGTTTGGGTTTCAACACCAAAACCTCCGTACCTTTGATTGAGAAATGTGCCTGACTGCAATTACAAGGGAGGGAGTGGGTGGAGGGAAGGGTGGATGGAGAGAGGAAACGCACCACAGTGCTTTCATAGTTTGCTGGCATGACATTTTTCTTCCCTTGTTTATTTATTTCATTCCTTTCCCCTTTTTCGGCGAAGGGGCAACGTGTTTATTGGGCAGACTGAAGGAGAAAAAACAGGAGGGAAAATGGCCCCGGCAATGGGACTGAAGTGGCTGAGATTGTCCCAATTGTGCTTGCGATCGATACCCTCTCAGAATAACTGCAGATATATAAATGCACTTGGTGAGTAAGTAACGTGTGTGATTGTGCGTGTGCACGGAGTAAGTACCGCTAATTCCTTCATGACCTTTAAACTATACCCATTCCGTGTGCTCGTCGGTCACTGACCTGCAGGATGTAGCCCCTGACGTAGTCCCGGAGGGTCCAGCCCAGGCCGTGCAGGATGTGCAGCACCTCCTCCTGCTTCAGCACGGAGAAGAGGCGGTCGAGAAGGATCTTGAGCCGCACGGGGACGGCCTGGGTGCCGTACAGCATCAGGCTGCTGATGTCGAACACCACGTTGGACTGAACGATCTCCACCTGGGTCGGGTGGTACAGGTGCTGGGTGCTGAGCTTGTCCAGGGCTGCGTGAATCACCGGGTGACAGGATGAGAAAACAAAGGAAGACGCACACGCGTGACATTCACAGAGGCCGACAGGCACGGTCAAGGACTATCAACGTCCCGCCGCCTCCCGAATCGTCCTTCAGTCAGCACTGGCTGATAAGGACACATCAACCAGATAAGAGCAATGACATCAACGTAATTATCTGCCACAGTTTTTTTTTTCTTTTGCGTTCATGAATTCTGGCTACTTCTTCCATTTTTAGTCCCTTCTTCCGTCTCCATCTCAACCCCAACTGCCGCTACAACCAAACTATTACTGAGTTTGAGTCTTATCTGTTTGTGGCTTGACTCGCATTTCTCGTCGCGTCACTTTTCTTATCTTTATATATTTGCTTCTAATGAGGCGTGTGCTCAAATGGTTAATGGTGCTAGGAAATCAAGGATTACGGAAGTGGACGGTTGGGGGGGTGGGGGGACAAGTCAAAGGTTAAAAAAAGACCTTTGTGGAGCTTAATCGTGAGTGCATGTCATGGTTTTGTTATTGCCCCCCTTGAACGCAACCTCACTCACCTCTTTCTCCTCTCCGGCTGTCTGCGCTACACCTGGTCTACTCTCTCTCTTTTTTTTTTTTTTCCTCTCTGTTTCAATCGCTCTCTCTCCCCTCCCCTCGTGCCTCTCGCCCCACTCCCCCCCTGCCTCCTCCCTGTCGGTCTGGGTGACACCTGGTTGGGTCTCTCTCTCTCTCTCTCTCTCTGATCCTGGGACGGCTTTTTCCCGCTGACGAGTGCTTTGCCTGACAACAGGGCGCAGCCAGACACGAACATAATAAAAAATGAAGAACTACTTGTCAGAGTCGCTGCCAATGCCGACATGAAATGAAAAGTGGGGGAGAGGAGAGATGGGCGGCTGACAGTTCAGAGGGAGAGATTAAAAAGTAGTCAATGGGGTCTTGTGCGATCCGCTGAAGGGCCCACAGACTCGCTCTTGTGCCGACGCGAGCCAAACAGGTGTTTTCTTTTTTCCCCCCTTCTCTTTGTACTTTTGGGCCTCCTCTCCCTTTTTTTTTTTTTTTTTTTTTTTTTTTTTTACACCCGCGTAAAAAAGGCATGAGGTGTGGTCCGGCTTCTCTATCTGTTAAGTAAAAACATTTGGATGCTGTCTGCAGTAAATACAAAACGACACATGAGAAAAAGGAGACCCGTGAAATGCATCAGTTGTAATTTCCAATGTAGTTTTCATTTCTCCACAGCGAGAGGTTTTACTTTTATAAGGACAAATAAAACTGGTATTTTCTTTTTATTGAAACCATATTCATGAAAAATCTGCCACCCCTAACAAAGAATGTACTCACCGTGAGCTACCCAGCCATGTTTGCACTGGTCACATGTCCGTAGGTGAATCTTCCCTGGCTGGAAACACTCGCATGTGCAGTTCACCAGCGTGCAGCGAATGGCCTGCAGAGACACAAAAACACAAAGACGATTCCACATCAATCACAACTCAGAGGCCAGGACCGAGAACGGGCAGTTGTCAGTGATAAATACAAAAAAGGAGGGCGGCGGACAAATTTCTCCACCAAACTCTGACCTAAAAATGTAAATACAGATACAGAAAGAATATCAGCCGTTGCAGCCATTTATCCACACAACAAATTCCCCAACTACTATTTCATTCCAATTGCGCTGAATGTGGCGCGAGTTCATGAGAACCGACAAAGGACTTTCCCTCCTGAAAACGCAGAAATGTAACTTGTTTTGACTGAGGCTTCATTACTCAACACCGGCGCAGCACTTAGTCTGACCCCGGGAAGCTTTTAGTAGTGAGAGGTTAAGTGTCCAGACTTGACGAGGGCAACTCAGTAGAGCACAAAGGATCGTCTGCCGAAGCCTTCATCATCTCTCTTAAAAACCTCCAACAGAAATCCGGGTGCATTTTGCAGCAAGTTGGTGTTTCACATTCTTCAACCAATAAAAAGAACGTACAGAAGGGGAAAAAAAGGTGCGATACACACAGAAATCATCTGATGGGGAATCTGCAGATGCAAGAGGATGTGTGTAGCAAACCATGCAAAAAAAAGAGTGATGTTAGAATAAAGTAGTAAATTGCTTGTCATTCTAAGCAGCAATTCTATGCAATAAGAATAATGCATTTTACATTTGACACATATGTTGTTGGCAAATGACTTTGGATTTCTAGTCATTTAGGAAGAAAAGAAGCTACAAATCCGTAACAAAGAAAACAGTTACAGATTGTTGTACACGTGCATACAAGGTGACTGCTGAGAGTGATTTTATTATGACAGGAAATCCTAATTATCCAGTGCTGAGGAAACGTATCACGTAAATGTGAAAGCACTATCTGGCACATGTCTGAGTGCTTGTCCTCACACCAATGCTACTTATCACCGCGTTAAACTTCATGAATTTACAATCCGCACTAAATACGCTACCTACATTGTCTCACTGTTATTCTTATACGGCAACGCTGGGACAATAATGTGACACCGACGTGCACACAAAGGGTCGTAGGTTGGAGTCCATGTCTGAGCCTGCAACCTATATTTCACAATGTCTGAAACAGTCGATCACGACTTCCAGATAGAAAGTTATCTGCAGCGCGGATCAGCCTTTACGTCACACAGCCGAGGGTCAATGCGCGATTAGAGGCGAAAGAATATTTGCGCTCTTTCCTTATGTGCACCTGTATTGACCCGACGGCACAATCTGGTGTTTAGCAGCAGGAAATGTCATTACCTCGTTTGTGGATTAGAGCAATATCCTGTAACTCAGGATATAAAACTCACTCATAATCTACTAAGGGACCATGAAGTCTATCAGACCCCCCCCCCTTTTTGCTCACCCCAAAGTGTCGTAAACCAGATTAGTAACTGCAAGTGTCAAAGTGAACATGGGCTAATCCGAGATTAAACACAAAATTACCCCACTTCTAACCATGTCACCTGACCGCTTGACACCGATTGAGACAGGAGGCCGAGATTATTTGACATTACATCATTTTTAAGCTTTCCAGGTGCTGCCACGGCAATCCTCACCGTGTGTGAGGATTACACGCCATGTGTCGGTTTGAGTGTACATACATTATGTGCTGAGCTGACGTTATTCGCCAGGCCGACGGGTAACAAGTCAGTTCAGCGCTCAACTCAAGAACGCTTATGTAGCAGACGCCCATTGACCAGGGCCGGGTTGAACCTGTGACCTCTGAGATACGGCATCGACTCAGACAGCTGTTTTTTTTAATTTTTTACTGTGCTTCACATTCAAATTCAATTCCCTAAAACACATTTGACTGGGCAGAAAGAGAAAGTCGCTGCCCCCGATCCGCTCCCACGCCAGCCCGCACTTGTCCACTTGTTTCCCCAGCATGTGCAGTTCCGCACCGCAATTCATGCCACAAAATAATTTTCCATCATATAACTCCTTCCTGCATGAAGATTTTGCAAACTCCAACATAGGGTGCCCAAATTTAGCAAGATGATGTCACACAACACAACCCCATTCTAATTACCTCTCTGTGCAGCGGCAGATGGAAATAAACAATTGGAAATATCAAATGCACCTCTGCTGTTGATAAGCTCGGGTCTGACAGCTGACAAGATAGTTAAGGGCCGTCTAATACGGCAATTAGAGCGTGCCACTGTCTGCGGGGGTGCTGCTGTGACAAGGCGCCCTCTAATCACTGACTTATTACGCTGGCTAGCAGCACCTCTCATAACTGGCCCATTAAGCAGACAGCGGCATTAAGGAGCATTAAAGAAGCAAGCTCCTTCAACTGAGGAGGCGCTGACGGGAGGAAAAAGGGAAGGTGGAGGAACGTACGGGGTTATTTTTCCTGGGATTTATATGCGCACCCTTCCGCGTTCAGTTAGGAGGTTGCAAGTGATGCGCGGCACAGCAGACGTCCGTGACGTGACGGAGTTGATCATACGCAAAAAGATGAAAGATTACATAAATGAATACAGACCCGCTTCTTTTTTTTTTCTTTTTAAAGACAGGCAGTAGACGGCTGTGTCAAAGATGGCCGTCAAAAGCAACACAATCAAGCCTGTGAGTTTGCCTGCGCGTGTGGCTTGTCAGAGGAAAACAAGTAGGACGGATTCGTAAAGACTGCTCATAATTCACCCGTACTCCTGCTTCTGTTTCCAGCCTGGATCTGTGCTGCATTTGGCCCGGGGCTTAACCTGTGTCTGGCCTGGGCCGGGTCGGGGACATGCTTGGGCCCGGATCCCACCGCTACACTCGCACATATTTGTCACAGCAGGCCGGGCAGGAGGCTGTGTTATCTGAGGCCCGGCCAGATACACGGCATTAGTCACAGTGCTAGCGTCTCGCCAGCGTTTCCTCTTTGGCTCACTGCGAAAGAGGAAGACGGTGAGGAAAAGGACGAGGGGGGGAGGGGGGGGGGGATGCGTGTGAACGAGCGCGTTTGACTTTGTAAATCACTAGAAAAATGTGCGGCTAGAAAGCGAAAGCTTGTTAGCCGGTGAAGAAAAATCCCACAATGCTGTAGCAATTAGACCCAGACAACAGTCGACACTCTCGCACAGCTGCCGGGGGTTATCGCTTTGGTCAACAGCTTAACCTGGCTGGGTTCAGGAGGCATAATTTTCTCTCCTTATCTGACTCAAGTGTGTTCGTCTCACTGCTGAATTTTGTTTAGCTGCAGGCTTGATGTTTCATGGATGTTTTGCTTGGCCGAAGTCCCCGTCCCAGCCCAATTGTATAAACACGGACGGTCGGCAATGGCCAACATCAGACTGCGGAGGACTCCCAATTAAAAAACTGTTAGTGGGACAGATGGGCTGGAGAGATGCAGGAAAAGAGGAGCAGCGGAACAAGATAGCTTCAGCCCGGACTCTTGCACTGGGGCCCAATAAGACTGGGAATCACGGGCCCAACGTGGCCCAGAATCATTGCTTCTGCACGCAGCGGAGTCCCCGGCAGCATGCGTAGAGGTCAACAAAGACAAAGCCTTTTGAAACCATAGAACCAATTGTGCTGCTAAACTAGTATCCTGTACAACTGTTTTACTCCCCTGTCAAATACTAAAAGTTGACTTTGTAACATTATACCCCTGAAAACCCCACTGAACCACCACTGGTCCCTTTCCGCCTCTCCGTGTCGTCCCTCGGCGCCGTGCAGTGGGAAAGTCAACCCCCGGCAGCTGCTAGATGCTGGTCGGCTATTGTTCCTCTTGCTTTAATTGAAACCTTTACCGTGTTTAACACACGGCCACAGACCACATCTCTTGTTTGGTGATTTAAGCAAAGCCGAGATTTAAATGAAAACCCCGTGTACATGCGCATGTGTGTGCGTCTTTGCAGCAGCAGCAGCTTTGGATTTGAATTTGTTTCTGCTTAGGGTCACTGTAAAACACTGGGAGCATCTTGTCCTCTCTTCCACCCACAAGATATTATCTCATCCATGAGTTAGCTGCTGAAATGCCGTCAATTTCCTGCCAGAAATGTGCAGCCAACGTGTGTCGGAAAAGAGGCACGGCAGCTTTGCGTGTCATAAAACAAGGCCCTGGCTCCGTCAGATAGATCAGGACTTCACGATGTCCATATTGGAAACAGGTGACAAATAAAACATGCGGAATAAAGAAAGCCTTTGTAGTCGAGACACAGCACGCCACAAAATACAGGGGAGCAAATACCTCATACCCCTGGCTAATTTTTGCTTGTTTGACTTCATACATCGGATTTGACTCGAAACACAGCTTCTTCTTTTTTTGTCTTCTCTACAAAATAAACAACGATTAATCACTTGCGCACCGGCTTCAGTGCGAAGCGGTCGTACTGTACTGCAGTCGATAGAAAAGACCAGCGTCTTCCCCGTGGAATCCCCGCGGCACAAGGGCCCGTCCTCCGTGTCAGTTCTGGTTTTTCAGCCCAGCGGCTGGCAGTCGCAGAGCCAGAGGTCCCCGTCCTTTTGTGCAGCTGTGTGCGTCTGGGCTGTAACGCGGCGCAGAGCGACCAGAGCTATGCTAATGGGAACCAAATGGGGCGTGAGTCCCCGGTGGATTACAGAAGGAGAAGAGAAGCATGTGTTTTCATGTATGCATGTGGAGACCTGGGACCCCTCTCTTTTCCTCCCTTCTCTCGCCCGCCTTTAAGCCAAACAAATGGAAGCTGCCAGGTCTGTTGTTTGCACGCACCTTTCATTTGGGCTCGTTGCAACTTGACAGATTTTGAGATCAATTGTCAATCACAGAATGTGCCTTAAATCTAATGAAATGTATATAAACAGTTATAACAATGTTTATATTTAGCGCTATTTAAAGTCATGTTAGTCATTTACTATGAATTAGTTAGGCTGATGTGAAAAGGTGCCAAATGTAGATAAGTTTGTAAATGCACTCAGGTAAAATAAACAGTTAACAAAGGCTGGAGAATGATAGAATTAATCCGTGGACATGTTGTGTCTAAGACAGAACA